GTCAGCCTTCCTGCTCCTCTGATGCTGCTTGGCCTGCTGTGTTCATCCAGCTCTACACCTTGTTATCTCTTAACCGTATAATGGCCATCTCTTTTTAATAATTCACCGACAGCTTCTTAAATGTTATGCATAAATGTGATTAAAAACTACCATAGTTGATTAAATTTGCTACATGCACTGTGGAGTGGAAAAAAAAACATACAGACTTAAAATAAATTTCAGTTCCAAATAACTACAAGATATAAAGCAACTACAATATGGGAACCATGACACCCAAACTTCTGGGAAGCAAAATCGATTTGAATGGAGTGTGTTTTACAATAAAATCAACAGAGTAATGGAAATCTGAAAAATGAAAGAATGCTTTGCATTTCCTGAACTGTTGATTAATATTCTGGATTCTTCAATTCATGAATCCTAAATAACTCATTAGAAAGAATCAGAAGAAAACCAGCCAATTACAGCTTAACTGCAATAGTGACCCTTAAATCCTTTTAAACAGCCAACCATACACTTAAATAAATATTGAAAGTGCAGAATGTGCAACTATCATCATATGAGGATAAATGTCAACAAATTTACTCAAAGCCTATGGCTAGAAGCAAATAGGTAACGGTGAGAATGCAATGAACAATGGCAACTCCTTAGGAACAATAGTATGAAAGCCACTGTTTGCTAGTAACCCCAGAAAGTAAACAATCCTTAAGTAATGAAGCTACTTTGAGGTCAGAGGGCAACCAAAGTTCTTTTCTTGACCAGTGAGCATCTTCTTTAGGTCAGGACCTTAATCTATTGCAAACAAAATCCCTCATGACAGAGGTTACAGGGAAAACAGGGAAAGGTGTGGAAATCCTGCCTGGGAATCTACTGGCAAGATGATGTGCACAATGAGATAGCCTGTTGGTTGACAGAGGTCAGGACCCACCTAGTGTTAATGGTAGCAAAGATGTTAGAATGGTCTCTATCACAAGGGACAAAGTATTTGTCAAACTAATGGGGTTAAAGACAGACAGGTTGCCAAGGCTTAACGGCCTGCATTCAAGGGTTTCAAAGGAAGTGGCTGCAGTAATAGTGGGCATTGGTCAAAATATTTAAGAACCCACTGGATCCAGGAGATTTTCACTGGATTGGAAAACTGCTCATGTGACACCCAGGTTCAATAAAGGATGGCGGCAGAAAACAGGAAATATAGGTCAAACAGCCTGATATCAGTCAATGGGAAAATGCTAGAGTCCATTATTAGGGAAGAAAGAGCAGAACAGTAGCAAAGCTTCACACAATTAAACAGACTCAACATCATGTTTGACAAATTTACTAGAGGTGCTAACGGGTACCAGTAGATGTAGCGTATTTGGATTTCCAACAGACATTTGACAAGGTGCCACAAAAAGGTAACTGCACAAGATAGGAGCTCACAGCATTGAAGTGATGTGTCAGCACAGATTGAAAATTGGTCAACACCTAGCAAGCAGAGGGTAAGGATTAATAGGTCTTTTTCAGGTTTGAAGGACATATTTAGTAGAGTGCCTCAAGGATCAATACTGGGGCTTAAATTAATTACCATCTACATTAATATCATGGAAGTTGTTCAGACAGTAATGTATTCAAGTTTGATAAAGTTACAAAAATAGATGGGAAGACATATTGTGATGAGGATGTAAGGAACTTACAAGGGTATATTTGGTAGATTGGCCGATCAGGCAAAAAAATGGCAGTTAGGGTTTAATGTGGGGAAGTGTGAGGTTGTGTACTTTGGTAGGAAGAATCAAAAGACAGATTATGATTTAAATGGAGACAAATTCCAACAAAATGCAGCACAGATGATGATTGTACTTGTGCACAAAACACACAAAAGTTAGTATACAGGTGCAGCAAGTAATTAAGGTGGCAAATGAAATGTTAACCTTTATTGCTGGAGGTTGGAGTTTAAAAATATGGATGCCTTTTTATAAATGCACAGGGTATGGTGTGTCAAACCTGGAGTACTGTGTACTGGCTTGGATTCCATATTGAGGAAAGGATATACTATCATTGGAGGCAGTTCAGAAGAGATTCACTATTCTGATTCCTAGGATGATAGAGTTGACTTATCAAGAATGGCTAAACAAGTTAAGCCTTTATTCATTTGGATTTATAAGAGTGAGGGGTAATCTTGTAGAAACATACACAATTTTGACACAGGTTCACAGGGTAGATGATGAGTGGAGGAGTCTTGACCTAGGGGACACTGTTATAGAATAAGGTAACACCCATTTAAAACTGAGATGCAAAGGAATTTCTTCTCCCAGAAGGCAGTGAATGTCTGGATTCTCTACCCTGCAGAGTTCTGGGGGCTAGACCACTGAAAGTATTTAAAGAGGTATCAGATTATTGAAATATCGGGGATTGAGTGCTACGAAGAGCTGGCATGAAAGAGGAGTTGAGGCCTCGGGCATCTCAGTCCTGATCTTATAGAATGGTAGGCTTGACAGGATGAATAGCCTACTCCTGTTCCTATTTCTTATGTTATGTTCTTATGTTCATCCTGAAATTAACATAAAAATAGTATCTTTTGGATGCATTTTAAAGGAGATTGATCAGGGACCACCCATTTCTAGAGGACAGTCCAGCAAAGCTTAGAGTGTGCAGAATCTTCTACATTTTTCAACCCTTCCTGATTGGCAGAAACTATGTCCCTCTTGTTGTGGCCCTCCAAAGGACAGATCTCTTAGATATCAAGATTTAGCAGAAAGTGATGAGATTCCAAGAACATGGTCTGGAAACAGAGGATCGGCTCTCTCAACTCATCTAAGCACTAGCGTCTCAGGAAGGTTAGGCTATCATGCCAGGTCACTACTGACAGCTGTATCCACGTAGAACAAGAGGTCCTTCCAGTGTATTGAAAAAATGTTGATGTAACACCCTTATTCAAAAAGGGGAGGAAAGCAGAAAACAGGAAGCTATAGACCAGTCACTTAACGTCCATGGTCCAGTATTAAGAAATACTCACAGGACATTTGTAATGTTAAAATGCAATCCATCAGAAGCAACAAGATTTTATGAAGGGTAAACTGTATTTGACAAATTTGCTAGAACTCTTCAAGGATGTAATAAGCAAAGTGGATAATGGGGGTTCCATGGATAAAGTATATCTGGACTTCCAGAAGGTTTTGATATGGTACTGCACAAAAGGTTAATATGAAAGGTAAGATCACAGACTTGGGGGTAATATATTCTCTTGGATAAAGAATTGGCTAACGAACAGAAAGCTGAGAATAGGAATAAACAGGTCTTTTCTTGGTTGGCAAGTTGGAACTAGTGGTGTGTTCCAGGATTCAGTTGTTGGGCCCCAATTATTACATTCTATATAAATAACTCAGATGCAGGGGTAGAGTGAACTATAGCAAAATTTGCAGGTGACACTAAAATAGATGGGAAAGTAAACTGCAATGAAGAAATATGTAATTTACAAATGGGAATGGATAGGTTAGGTAAATGGACCAAAATTTGGCAGATGGAGTTTACTTATGGATAAGTGTGAAGTTATCTATTTCAATTGAAAAGGCAACTTATTATCTAAATGGAGAGAAACGTCAGAGTGCTTCGGTGCAGAGGGATCTGGGTGTCCTCATGCACAAGTCACAGGAAAATGGTATGAATGTACAGCAGTTAATACGGAAGGCAAATGGAATTTTGGCATTTCTTGCTAAAGGAAGAGAGTATAAAAGTAAGGAAGTGTTGTTGCAACTGTAAAGGGCATTAGTGAGATTGCACCTGAAATATTGTGAACACTTCTTAGTCCCTTTACGTGAAGGGATGCAGTTGCATTGGAGGCAGTTCAGAGGAGATTCACCAGATTGATTCTAGCATTAAACGGTTTATCTTAGGAGATATTGAACAGTTTAGGTCTACACTTGCGAGAGTTTAAAAGGGTGAGAGGAGATATAATTGATGTATATAAGATGCTATAACGGATTGATAAAATAGACTTTGAACAGATGGCTCTTCTTGTGGGACAATCTAGAGTGAGAGGTCAGAGTTTTAGGCTAAGGTACAGCAGATTTAAAACAGAATTGAGAAGGAATTACTTTTCTGAAAAGTTTGTGAATCTGTAGAATTCACTCCCCCACAGTGTGGTGGATACCCAGACATTGAGTAAATATTAGGAGGAAATACACAGATTTTTAATAGTAACGGGTTGAAGGTTTATACAGAACAAGCAGGGAAGTGGAGTTGAGGCTGAAATGAGGTTAGCCATGATTGTATTAAATGGCAGAGCAGGCTTGAGGGGCTGACTAGCTTACTCCTGCTCCATGTTCTTATGTTCCAGGAAGTTAACAGTCATTTATCAAACAGTGAGAACAATCTCAGAGAGGATGTACTATGAACAACAGTCTCTCAA